ACCAATTAACAAGTTCGTAGTAGAACGAAAACCGGAAGAAATACCGGTTTGCCTTACCGATTATGATGACGTCACCTCAGTTCCACGAGTTTATAAGAAGTGAGCACCGGACTATCATATGATCCGGTTTGGTTCCGAAATGAAAGGCTTGTTCTGTGTGAGTTCAAGGAACACAATCGAGAGATTGCGTGCGAAGATTTTTGATGGACATACAATAGATGTGTATGAATACAATCACGTATGATATTTGTAAAACTAAATGCTAGTAAGATCTACTCTTCAAATCACTACATAGTATAAAACAAAGTCGCTATCCGCCGTCTGTCTGTCCATATGTATGCGTCGTCGTAGTTTTAAAGGTCTAACCTTTAAAACTACGCAAGGGATTTTAATGCAGTTTTTTTTGATAGATAGAGTGATTCTTTAGAAAGGTTCATATGTATAATACATGCATATTTCACCTGTGCGAAGCCGGGGTGGGTCGCTAGTTCAATATAAGAACTTAACATTTTACTAAGTGGTGAGCAGTTATGTGGACTATACGTTTTATTTAAGCTTATTGTGTTAAATAAAAACTAATAAATAAGTAGGTACCACTGACAAAACTGTTAGCAAACCATTTTTCACCAACCATAAATTTTCTATGAATGCCACAGTCATCAGAATATATTATAGTACATATTTCAACTGCCTTCCTTAAACCATGTGGCATGCGTGGGAATTATGACAATCTCTTATGTAAAAATGTCCTTTTATAAGGACATTTGAGAAGTCTATACATTTTATAATAAGTATGTCCATCGTTACCTCTTCATTCAAATATGTGATGAATGACAAATAATATGATAAAATGAAATATTAGTCATCAAAGTCATTACTGTCATGCAATTTCAGGGTCATTTTTATCAAGAGGTGCGCTTTGGAACATCTGTAATGACAGTAGTACACAGAAGTGTGGGAGAATCGAAGGAATCTAAGTGTGGCAGAGCCATGCTTCGGCACGAATGGGCCGGCTCGACCGGAGTGATACCACGGCCTCACAGAAAACCGACGTGAAGCAACGCTTGCGTTGTGTTTCGTCGTGTGGGTGCGGTTACCGGAGGCCCAATTACCTTCCCCTTCCCCAATCTCCCCAATCCCTGAATCCCCAACGATCCTCAAACTCCTAATCCCCAAAAGGCCGGTGACGCACTTGTAACGCCTCTGGTGTTCCAGGTGTCCATGGGCGACGCCGATTGCTTACCATCAGGTGATCCGTCTGCTCGTTTACCGACTTAAGCCATAAAAAAAAACATTTGAAACATTACAAGGAAAATAATAGTGGCATTATTATTTTATAATATGCCAGAGTGCACAGCTTCTCCGAAAATGATTGGGCGGTTCAACAATTTTCTATATGGTCATACTCGTATCGTAATGCCACTGGTGTACCTAGGTATCCTAGGCTTTCGTTGAGGCAAGGAGGAGCATCAGGCTCTTATTGACTAAAACTAACACGTCTTGAGCTGATTGGAAACTGAAACATGTGTGCTGCCATCAAAGCTGGTCAACTCAAACCGTTGTGGATCTTTCTTCAAAAGACCATTACAGAATCAACTTGCACGGTTCTCGCACATTATAGTTATAATCTGTCTGGACTTTAAAAATGACAATGACCTCTGAGTTTGTTTCGGCGTTTCTTCTCAGAGTAGTCAGTTGAGAAATGCCGGCCCTCATCTAATAATTTAAAGATTGACGTGTAAAAGTGTAACTTTGTAACCTATTTGCAGAAATTTCATCATTTTATTTCACGTTCCTACTACTGCTTCCAGCCGGAACTAGGTCGGTGGCAACCCCGGTAGGTTCCAAGGGATTCCGTGGTCTATCGACAGGACCCGGTGCCTATAATTATTATGGGTGTTATTCGCGGTCAACGCATCGGTAAGGAAAATCAAATCCTGCGTGCCTTATTATTTCTCTTATACTAAAACCTTGGTCAACTTTAATTTCTATGATATTTAATGTCGATAAGTATCTTTCTTTATGCTAAATCAAGTAGAACGTTAAAGAACAATAGTTAATTATTAATTGTGCAAAGTAAGTCTGATTGGCTTATAAATAATAATGTGAGACCTAGTACATAATGATAAGGACGTGGATTTTTCTTTCATTCGATTTAGTTTCTTGATCGGTTTTCATCCATACAAATTTACATGTATATTTTTTTTAAGGCGGGAAAGTCGTCGAATGACTGCTACCACCTGGGTGAATCGGGAGAGAGTCTCAGACTCTTACTGACTAAAAACCACCCCGTTCCTTCTCCTGCACTTCGAGCTGGAGCCCCAGTAACCCGTTAGGTTCTCCGCGACATCTGTATGTATATCAGAATAAACACCTAGCTTCACTGACGGACAGAATGACGGACAAGTTAAGATGTTTTATAATTGCTTGCACTTATGTACATACAATCAGTCGAGTTATTTAGGATGCAGGTAAGATAACAAATAGTTTTAATACAGAGACATAAACCACTAGTTGACAACTGAAGTCGAAGTGTTTATTTCAAAGTTTATTTAGTCGTGGTGGCTCGCATGTTAATACGCTCGCTTCTCATACATGAGAGAGCAAGTTCGAAACCTACGAGGGACAAGTACCAATGTGACTTTTTCCGACTTATAATTATGTACTTTTTAAGATTATTTAGACACCACTGACTGAAAAAATCGTGAGGAAACCTGGACTTATAATTTCTAATTAAGTTTGAAATCGCCAACCCGCATTGAGCAAGCGTGGTGATCAATGTGTGCTCAAACCTTCTCCGTCAGAGAAGTGGCCTTTAGTCAGCAGTGACCACTTATAGGCTGTTGAAGTCTACAAGTGGCTTGATGATGATGATGACAGCTAAACTGATATAGTTAGAGATACATATAGCTTCGTTAAAACACATACAATTTAGTACAACAAAATATTCTGTCTCTGCACTGAACCAATTTTTATTTTCTTACCTGCATAGCAAATCATTTGTCTAACGGCACACGTACAAGTATTAATAAAATTGAAATAAACACTTCGACTTTGAAAAATACACTCGACTAGCTTAGTCTAGTAACCTAGATTAAACCTTGCTGAAAATAACATTTGGTTTATCGCTGATACAAAATTAGATTGAAGGTTAAACTTGTGATATGTATGTTTTTAATTAATCATTTGTATTTATACATACCTATATTTGTTTTCGTTTTTGTTATCCTTGTTGTATTTTTTTAATCTTCGATTCACTTTTCCCGCTTGGGCGAGGCAGGAGGTTGTGTCAGACTCTTACTGACTAAATACCACCTCGTTCCTACTCCTGCCTTTCGAGCCGGAACCCCGGCAACCCGCTAAGTGCTCCGCGGATCCGTATCGGCATCAGCCCTATTTGACCCCATCCGTGGTGGTCTGGTGGCTCTTTGAGTCGCGCGTGGAACGCGACGCGCCGATTCTTGTTGAATTTAGTACAATGATTGTGATTTTATGTATAAATACCTATATTTACCTTTGTTGTTTGTGAAGTCACAAGCGTCGTATATCTCATACTCTTTTTGTCATATCTCTTCTTTAGACTTTTAAAAGTTATTGCTATGATTGAGAGTCCAAAATCCGTTAAAAAATTACAAAACTGTTGTATGTTGTTTACAATTCCCGACGTGCCATAGCCCTAACCGTTGGGGAAGAAAATGTGTGATTTTGTACTTATGTCAGGGTTTCCCAAACTATAGGTCGCGACCCATTGGTGGGTCGCAAGCGAATTTTTGTGGACCTTGTCAATAGAATGATACACTAATCAACTATTCTGTATTTTATTTTTCATTTTCGTAACGATTTAATATTCTAAAGGTGTGTCCTAAGTTTGAGAACTTGATTTATATAGGTTGTAGTCCAGACCACTTTGGGAACCACTGACTTATGTTATTTAATTTTATTTGACAATAATATGTGTAGATTTAAGTACATTCAGTACAAGTGAAAGTCTTACAAAATTCTTACTATGATGTTCAGTCATTTTAGCAAATATTTACCGTTAAGTAAAAGTAGCCTACAATTGATGGCAAAAAACTTTCTTGTTTTTTTCGCACATACATATTAAGTTCTTACTTAAAGTATATTTTATCACAATCATTAGCTATCAGGTTTGTAGCATATAGAGAAAATTGAACCCTTTTTTGAACGGGATAATCATTCAATTGGCTTGAGTGTCAGACTCCAATGGACTGAAAACCACCCCGTTCCCACACGACACTACAACGAGCCCTGGAATCCGCTATTAAGTTGGACGACTTATGCATGGGTAAAGTTGAACCCTGTATCTAGTTTATGGTGTTATTGATTTTTTTTACCCACACTAGGATTTTCTCCTGTGTCGTGGGTGCGTTTATAAACATACATTATCACATACACATGCCAAACCGACCCGGAACAACAATCTGTGGATCAGACACGTTGCGCGGCAGCCAGTTGCGCAGCCACCGCGCCAACCGTGCAGTCATATTCATTTTAGAGTCTAGATTTTCTGTAGTTTTAACATAATGTCGTAATTATTGAACTAACGATTAATCGCAAACACTTGCGCGGGAATCGAATTCAGCCACGAGTAGATCTGTTGCGGTTACGACTGACCGTGACCTTTCCGTGCCATTTTAATATCCTCCGTTTAAAAATAAAAAAGAACTACGTATTAAATTAATTATTATATTTAAATACCAAAGTCACTTCTAGATCATCTATTCACCTATCGAAAGATTCAAAATAGCATAGTAACATTATTAAATTAACAAATACCTACTATTCTTAATATCATTTTTTACTTTTATCTCACAAAATCTTGTTTTTCTTTTATAAAACTTGAGATTCGGTTGAAATGCTGTCAATGTACTTGTGCAGTGTCAGGACAAAGATTACAACTTATCTTATCTATACTACATAATACATAACATTACATATTTGTTATAACTATAAAATATAAATAAATAACAAAAACTCACCATAGTCACTTTTCCATTTAAAGTTTCATTTGAAGCCGTACTAATTGTGAAAACTTCAGTACTTTCTGTTGGCGCCATTTTAGTAGCACTCACACATTCAAACACTTTCATATTTAAATATATTTTTTTTAAATCACGAACACAGAACTACAATTCTTATTTTGAAATTCGAATTTAGAATAAAATTTGAATGTTTACGTTATTTTTTTTAATTCACGTTTCTTTTTTTATTCTAACTTAATTCTCAAGTGTTTCAAGTTGAGATATCGCGTCGACTGACAGTCGAGCGGCGTGTGCGCACCGGTGAGCGAGCGACCAATGATATATCGCAACTGGATGCCTTATGAGCATAGGTGGCGTTCTTAAAGGTCAATTGGTAGACTCGTCTAGAGTAAGATAAAACTAGGGCAAGGGAGTTCCTTAGATTTTGTGTGGGTACTATTTATTGTCCGTTGTGGGGGTCATGAAGGCTGAGTTTTGAAAAGTAAAAAGGTCATGTAAAAATTTTTTTAAGACTAGCGGAGGCACTTTCTAGTATTTCTCTCCGACCTGTATTGCAATTTTTATAAAAAGAAAAGAGGTTTTTAAAGAGGGGTATAGTTATATGGAATTTCTATAAAAAATGTTATTTTTTTAAACATAATGATGTAACCTACCTATTTAAAAAATGATTAAAGAGAAATTAGAATGTGATTCATTTTTACCGACTTCAAATATAGGAACGAGGTACTATGTTCAGCTGATTGTTTTTTTTTGTACATTACGAAGTAATTCATGAACATATGTAAGTATTTTAATAAAGACAATAAAATGAAATTATAGGTACCAAAATTTGCATCGTTCATAAAATGAATAGATTATTATCGGCAAAAGTAATCTCAACACCTGCTGTGTATATTCTTATCTATCAATATCTAAGTAAGTATAGCGATAATGAATGTTAAATATTCAAAACTATGCAATTATTTTTATTAATATGATAAACCTTTTTCGACTACGCCTTTGAAAATAATAAGTAAATCTTTAGATAATACTTCATTTTGACTACAGCTTGAATTCTGAAACTATCGTTCTTTGTGATGCAAAAATTTTGTTTGTTAAGCATTTTCTCTTAAACTACTACACAAATTTTGATGCATTTCATTGAAGAGATAGGTGAATTTAATTTGCATGAGACCAAAACCGTAAATGCTAGATATACGCTAGTGATAGAGGTTCGCAAGTGGCAGTGGATAGGTGCAAAAGGACAGTATTAAATTCAATTAAGCAGTCTTTCCACATGTTTCTAGTAAATAATATGTCACATAATAAAGACGATTATTTGTTGGCATGTAATTAAATTACTCATATATTGTTTTGAAATTATTAGTAAGTTAAATGAAGTTTTTATTTATGTATGTATTTAATTTAAGTATGATTGTGTTTTATTTTAATTGAATTGTATTGCTTTTACCTGAGTTTCTTGATTTTTATGTGATTATTTTTTAATTTTGGTTCAATTATCAAAACCGTATTCGACACAAATGTAAATTTGTTTATGATTAAATAAATAAATAAAAACGTAATAAATGTCCTTGAAATCATATAATTTATAGTAGAAATTTCTTTATCACTTCCAGTAGCTAAATGAATACCTATACATCATTGTATCCATAATGAATCATTCACGTGAACGTTGTGAATAGTAATGAGAGTAACGTTATGTCAGTTTGTGGGTCACTCTGTTCGTGTGTATACATATATATACGAGTACATTATGTATGAAACAGTTCCGGCTTTAAGATATGACTTTAATTGCGTAAGAAACTACTGAAGACACGCACATCAATAGGCCCTAATCTGTACAATTCCCTTATTGTATTTTCAACTGTATGACTTTGTAATTAAGTACAAAATGTTTAAATATGATAGGGTAGCTTTGTGTGCTGTTGATAGTATTATCATAATATCGAGTTTATATCTATTAAGTGATAGACGTTTCCGCTATTTTTCTCAATGATGTCTTTTGATCTTTGATCTGAGTGTAAGTAGTTGTAGGTACTATCGCAATTAGTTAGGTCAGTTCAAATATGGCAGCTGTTTGATGATAAATATCGGTGGTGATGACTGTTACAAATCTTAGTATGAGTGTCTTTAGACAAGATGGAAAACATTAGTTATCTCATATTCTGATCATGATTATGGGCCCCTGGATTGACTTGAAACTAGTCGAGAAACCTGGTTATTTTATAAAAAAGCGTTGCCCCACACTAAAATTTTCTCCTGTGTCGTGGGTGTGTTTATAAACATACAAGTTCACATACACAGGACACTCAGACCCGGAACAACAATCTATGGATCACACAGAGTTGTTCCGTGAGGGAATCGAACCCGCGACACGTTGCGCCGCAGCCAGTGCCATGCAGTCCAACAATTATATATTATGCATAAGTCGCACCACCTATTAACACTTTAGTACTTAAATAAAATATTTCCCAGGGTCCAGTGTCTATTTAGTGCAGTAATGTTGTAGCATAGATATAATAAAGAAGTTGTAATAGAAAAGTAAATAATAAAAAACTGTTTTTAATATTTGTGTGGTTGTCGCGGAGAACCTAACGGGTTACCGGAGCTCCGGCTGGAAGCGCAGGAGAAGAAACGGAGTGGTTTTTAGTCAGTAAAAGTCTGACACTCCCCTCACCCAGGCCGGAGCAGCCATTCGATAATTTTCCCCCCTTAAAAAAAAGAATACTGTGGTTATATGTATTTAAGATTACCAACGACCTGATGACGGCGCATAAATAAATAAGTAATAGTTACAAGTGAGCATTACTACCTAAAATAAGTGTTCCTGACTCATAGAGGTACAAGTAAATAAGTAAAGTAAGATAAATTACTATCATAAACGTATGTACATAAGACGTCTATTTGTTTAATTCATGAAATAAATATAAGTAGACGTAATAATATATTTGTAAATATTTTCCTAACAATGATTCATTAGGAGTGTCGCATGGAATACTGGGTCCAAAGTCTGTTGTTAACTTAAGTATCTTTGTAATAAGCTAAGTCACTGTTCAATTAATCATCATATTCATCGTTAAGAACTTGGATTAATCAAAGGCTGTCAATGCACTCGTAACTCCTCAGATGTTGTAGGTCTACTTGGTGTTGTAGGATGTCTACTTGTTTGTCTACTGCTGGATTTTGAGCCTCGTCTACGTAAGAGTGTTTGACATAATTTCTACGCTTTTTTGAGGGGGGAAAATCATCCAATTACTTCTCCCGCCTTGGGTTAAACAGAAGGTAGTGTCAGACTCTTACTGATTACTAACTATCTCGTTTTTACTGCTGCTCTTCGAGCCGGAGCCACGGCAGTCGTTAGGCCTTCAGCGGCTCCTTATCGGACACCAGCCCTACTGGGCCCCATCTGATGGCTCTTTGAGGCGCGCGCGAAACGCCATGCGCTGTTCGCTCGGGTCTGTTTCTGGTTGGACGGTGAGCTGCCGTGAGCTACCATTGCTAGCTGTCCGCAGACCCACACTTACGTTGGTCGATGATCGTAGCGCGATCTCCGACGCCCGCAGTGCGTCCTGCGATAGCTTTGGGGTGAAGAGGTTCGTTTACTCACGCGCCCCGCCTCGTCTAGTAATTTCCACGCTACACCAGATATTGAAGCATGGTTGGCATTGGAGATAGCAGTAAAACACTATTAAATAAAGAGATAGAGTTGGAAATACCCAATTTGAACCCTGACCCGGTTATAAAGGGTTAGAGAATGACAGTAAAGTTTGCATACCTAAGCATGAGCCATTATAATAAACGTAATACCTACTAAGTACATTACGACCGAATTACTAAGAAATCAACTTAAGTTAGTGCTAGTGTACTTACGTTGGTTTACGCTCGAAAACTGAAGCCTTGGTACGAGTTTAATTTACGTTTAAAGTATTCGAAACGAGTACGCGTTCTGCGCTCTGATTGGCGGGCTCGAATGTACCAACCAATCAGTGCGCCGAACGCGTACTAATTCGAATACTTTAAACGTAAAAAAACTCGTACTAGCCTCTATAAGGCCATCTCTGTCATTTTACAAAGAGTTTGTAGTGACAGATTTTTTTTTTATTATTTAAAACGTTGCCCCACACTAAGATTTGGTCCTGTGTCGTGGGTGGAACTTCCTTCTGTTTGAAGTTGGTTAAAAATCGATCTTAAGTCACAGGTTTTGGATATCGGTTATTAATTTCGGCCATTATCAGAGCGAGCTATTTATTGACTTCAGTCTATGTTAATATGCAGTCCGTTTTACGACACCCATGGGAAGAGCAGAGTAGTCTACAAATGCATTCTGCCATCACTACATGGCGATACGAAGAAATCAGTTTACGTTACTACAGAGTGTCCTCTTAGCGCCAGGCAGAAGTATGACTCAACAATCGGCGCGCGCACCGACGGCGGCAGCGTCGCGAGCGCAACTTTAATGTTTAATTTATATGCGTCATCGCGAAAGTAAATAGGTACTATGGTGTATGGTGAGTCATTCTCTATGGCTTCTGTGAATGCAAGCCTTTAGAGTTTGCGAAAGAATTTCGAAATACTGCGTACTTTGGTGACAGTGAGTAGAATTACTGAGATGATATTACATAATTAGGATTATCGAATGGTACGATCGTGTGCGACTGCGGAGTAAGAAGTCTTGGGTTTTGTGACCAATAAGAGCATAGTATTACATACTTATAAACGATTAGCACCACCATAGATTAGAGGAGTTACAAATGCGTTGTCTGCCTTTTGAGTAAATATTCTGAACATGATAATTATGTTACATCTGACCAGAAAGACTAGCAAGTTACTTACTTTTCCTTCATTCAGGAAAACATATTGATAAAACGACCATTTTACCATTCAGGAAAAACAAGATTATTTGTTTTACACGCTCGGTTTTCCTGAATGGATCAATTAAAATAATTGCGTCAAATAGCTTCCAATTAAAATCTGATGATTGATATCTCAATATGTATAGCGTGGTAATCACGCGACATTGTAACTGATGATTACCTGGTTATCATGATCTTATCGCATTTAGATTATTGCTTCTTTTTTAGAGCTCCGTAGCCTTGGTTGCCGGGGCTCCAACTTGAAGTGCAAAGGAGTAGGAACGGGGTGGTTCTTAGTCAGTAAGAGTCTGACACTCCCTCTCGCCTCTTTCTTTCTTCTCCTCTTATAATAATACTTTCTGATCCACTTCGTTGCGGTAACCAAGATAGTTACTCATGTCCCTGGG